AAAAAAAAAAAAGAAAGATGTGACGGGGTGCCTGCCCTCGGGGTGCTCCCAGTCTGAAGGCGGAAGCAGGGCACAGAGTTAGAAAATGACAGACCCATGAAGGAAACACAAAATCATTTTGAGCTGGGGAGCCAGGGGTCCGTGCTTCCAAGGGCCACTCATTACCTTTTACTCCATCCCTGAGTGACTGGAGGTCCCTCCTGTGCCCTGTGTCTAAACGTGGGCCAGGGTCCCTACTCACCTGGGTAGTGGGCAGGCGGGTTACAGGGCAGCATCACCCCCCAGCCTTCGTGGGTTTTCACCGGGTCTCGCTCCTCCTTCGAGAACTCCTGCAGAACTGGAGATAAAGACCAGGCACTCGGGCACCGTCCTCCAAGCCTTCACGGGACGTAGTCACCTGCCCTTCCTGGGCGCTCTTCCCAGTCCCCTACTGCCCTCCCCTGACGTGCAGCACCCCATGGGTCTCACAGCCGAAGCGGAGAACAGCCTCCCTGCTGACGACGGCGCCCACTGGGTTGGAGGCCAGGCACTGGTAGACGCCGGCGTCCTGGGCCTTGGTGGGGTTCGTGATGACCAGGTTGCCCCCCACCAGCTGGTGGCGGGAACCTGGCTCCAGCTTCATCTCCGTGCCGTTCAGCTTCCACCTGCAGCAGGGGGCGGAGGGGGAGACCCTCCTGAGTCCTACTTGGCTGGACCCAGCCTGGGGCCAGCGCTGGAGTGAGGAAAAGCTGCACGGCTGCCTGGGGCCCCCAGCACCCGCCATGGGGGGAGGGGTCTCACCTATAGGTGGCCGGAGGGCTGGCCCGTGCCCGGCATGCCAGCGTCACCTTCTCCTCCGTGGACTCCTCTGGGAATAGCAGACCGAGGGGCTGATCTTCAAAGACTGGCCCAAAGGTGGCCGGGGTTCCCCGGGCTGAACTCTGAGCTGTAGATGGGGGACACCACCAGAGGCCTCAGGGCCTAGGGCCCGACAGGGCAGTGCCGTCCAATAGAACATTCTGTGAGGATGGCAAGATGCCATTTTCTGCACTGCCCAATAATGTAGCCATGAGCCCCAGCTATCAAGCCCTCGAAATGTGGCCAGTGCAGCCGAGGAACCAAATTTTAAGCTTTATTTAATTTAAATTAGTTAGAACTTGAATGTCAGCAGGCCGGGCAGGCCCCAGCTGGCCAAGTTAGTTGAGTCAATCACCCCTCCTATGCTCAGGTATTGAGCACTCGCTGCATGCCTGGCCCCGGGCTAGACTGTGTTGCAAAAATGAATAAGACACAGTCCCTCTTCCTCAAGAGGCCTGCAGTCCAAGGAGGGAGACAGAGAAGGACAGGACAAGGTGGTGAGAGCTATAAAAGCAGCTGATGGGGGCGCCTGGGTGGCTCAGTCGGTTGAGTGACTGCCTTCGGCTCAGTCATGATCCCAGGGTCCTGGGATCGAGCCCCGCATCGGGCTCCCTGCTCAGCAGGCGGCCTGCTTCTCCCTCTCCCTCTACCGCTCTCTCTCTCAAGTAAATAAATAAAATCTTAAAAAAAAAAAAAAAAGCAGCCGATGTTCTAGATGCAGGGGCCCTCAGGGCGGAAGCTGCTGATCTGCAGGGTGTGAGAGGCCTGCGAAGTCACTGGTTAAAGAGGCGGAGAGAAGATGTGTGTCCCTGGGGCCTGATGCTCCTTCTGGGCCGACAGCAAGTGCTCCGGCTCTCGACCTCTTACTAGCCGTTACAGAGCCCTTCTGAGCCTCAGCAGCTTCACCTATGAAATGGAAAGAATATGAACTCGCCCCCCTGGGTCTAGAGGACTGTTCAGTCTGGCACAGGGCGTGTGCTCTGGAAATGTCTGCGGGACCCAAGCATGGGGCAGGGTGGAGGGTAGGGGAAGAAGGAAGGCTTTATGCGGGGAGGGGGGGGGGATGTGCAGGTTGCTTTGGAGGCATCTTTATACAGTTCCAGTGTGACAATTCAAGAAAGAGAGGCCCGGGAGACGAAATGACTCGTTTGTGGTCACAAGGCAAGTCTGTGGCACACGCAGGTCTAGACTCCTGTCTCCCGAGTTTGCTGAGCAAATGGGTATCCCTGGTACAAATGGAGTTTTCATGCCTGGCCTCCTGCCAGGGCTGATGCCTCTTTCTCCAGGCCCCATTGTTCAACCTCACCAGGGCGGGGGGACACTAAGGCACAGAGGGCAGTGTTTCACACCTGCCTTCCCACAGGGCTGGGGGGCGGGCTCCATTTGCTGACTCGCGGGGTCCGTCATGCTTTGCCTTTGCGGTGCTGGGCAGGAACCAGGCCACCCCTAATTGGCTCCTACTCCTCAGTGCAGCTGGTTTCAGGCCCTCCTTGGTGGGTTGTGGGGGGGTGGGCTCCGCATTAACCAATTAGTGCCTCCTCTCCCCCCGCATCCAGCTGCCGGCCCCGCTCCAGGGGTGGGGGGGTGCACCCCATGCCACAGCTGAGGCCCAGCCCTGGACCCCAGGGAATGAGGGCGGCTGTTAAGCAGCTCTCAGAGTGAGGAAGGAGGCAGGGCTCCCTGAAATGGCATCCCCCATCGCCCTCCCGCCCACCCATCACTCTCCCTCCCTGCCGCCCCAGGCCTCAGAGGCCACAACAGCGGTGCCAGCGGCCGGAGAGCGCAGCTTAATCCCAAGTTAATGACGGTGGTGGAGGGGACAGACCCCTGCCCCAGCTGGGACTGCCAGGATGGGCGGGCAAGGAGGGGCGGCGGGGGCAGCTGGAAGCCACCCTGGATGATAGCCGCTTCCAGTAACTGTGGGGATGGGGGGTGGCCGAGGGGGCCTGGGGCACACTGAGGCTTTAAGACTGGCTTTCTTCCTGAGAAAGTTTTGTCCTCGGCACCCTCGGCCCAACACCCGCCCACACCTCTCTCGCCTACACATACTTCCTGACATGCGTGCGCGCGCGCACACACACGTACTCACCTCTCTGAGCTATCCCGTCAGATACACAGTCACGCACACATCTGTTCCACGCACATCCGGCTACAAATGTCCACGTGCGCTTATTTATACACACGCACATATTCCTACTGATAAAAACAGGTGCTATTTATTTAGTGCTTGCTCTTTATCGGATGCCACACTTCGTATTTCTTCTCTTACCCTCTTTACAAGACAGGAACTGACATTTCCTTACTTCCCTAACGTGGAAACTGAGATTTAGGCAAGTTCAATAACTTGCCCCAAATCGCACAGCGAGGAGGAGCAGATCCAGGGATTGGGATCCTGGCCAGCCGCACCCGTAGCCGGCGTCCTCAGCCACAGTGGTCCTGATTCTTCCCCTCAGTCCCCATCAGAGGCCCGTCCTCCCCCCCCCCCCCCCGCCCAACACAGAGGTGCCATGTGGGCGCTTCCTCTGGAGGGCAGCGTGGGCGGAGAGCCATCACTCTTGCTGGAAGGTTTTCCATGCACATCCGTCATCCCCCCAAATGTAGCACCCGGTTCACGCCAACAACTCGCAGGCATTGGCACTGTCTTAAACATCCACAAACACACTCTCATTCACCCCACACCTTCCCCTGAGGCTGCACTCGCGCCCACCACACACACACACACACACACACACACACCCTTCCTTGTTGCCCGTGTTCCGCATCCTCTCTGATTCTGATTCCCTGTTCTGGCAACGCTGCTCCCCCAAACATGGGCATCTGGAAGCCTCAGAGGAAGAGGCTAGAGAGACGTGAACATACAGGGGCCTCCTCACTGCCTTTCCTGGCCTGGATGCCAGGGACCCAAGGCTGCTTCTCCAGGGCAGGTTAGTGAGGGGAGCCCCGAGGGAAGACACCTTTCTGGGAGGGGTGAGAGCTAGTGATGGGATGTTCCACTCGGGTCTCTGGGGCTCAGGGATGTGGCAGACCGGGTCCCCTCTCCCTGGGCCTTCCTGCATCCCTGGGTCTAACACCCCAGCAGCTACCCACACCCCCTGCCTCAGGTGATATGGTCCCGGCCTGAGCTGTCCCCGACAGGGGGATAGTGCTGAGGACCCCCGGCGCCTCTCCTCTGCTCTCTCGGGGGTGGCTGTCTGCTGCCCTGTGCAGCCTGAGCTCCCCACCCCAGCTGCTCCTCTGGCCCTGGGTAGGGGTGGGAGGTGCTGGGAAGCTCCCTCCGGCCTTTGGGTCAGCCCCATTTCCCTGCAGCCTCACTGATTTGGGGGCAGGCCTGGGAGGCAGTTAGGAGGTAATGAGAACATCTGGAAATGTGCCAGTGGAGTCCACCCGGGTGAGACAGAACCTAACACGGGCCGGCCGCAGTCTTGCAGGGGCGTGGGGCGGGGAGGAGGAGTGGAAGCAGCTAGAACTCTGGAAGGGGTGGAGGACGGGGACGCTTCCTCCCATGGAGGTCTTTACGGAGAAAAGAGGCGTCTATTGATCTGGGCTGGGGGTCAGGGCGGAGAGGCCAGGCAGTCCCAACAGGCCCCCCAGGGCAGGAGCAGGTAGCGGGGGACCTCCCTCCAGCTCTTGGACTGGCTGGGTCTCCGGCGCCTCCTTCCCCGCATGCTCCCCAGGGGCCGGCCAGCCTGGGTCTGGGCCCCAACTGCCCTCTTCTGCCGGCCTCCCTCCAATGCTCTCCCTACCTCACGGCTCCCCTGGCAAGAGAACTCTTGCCTGGGTCCCTCTGGCCTTCAGCCTCGGCCGCCCCGTGCTCTGTCTCATGTCTTCTCACGTCCTGCACTTGGTCTGTCTGTCAGGCCGCAGCGTGGCCCTGGGGAGCCCTCCTAGAGTTTTGTGGTATCGATCCCTGTCTCCTAATGTCAGAGAACGCTAGAGTGGGAGGATCCGATAGAACTTTCTGTGATGATGGAAATGTTCTATAATCTGTGCTATCCAATATGGTTATTAGCCCTTAAAATGTGGCTTGTACAACTGAAAGACTAATTGTAAAATTTAATTTAATCTCGGTTTTAATAGTTCCATGTGGCTATTGGCTACCCTATTGGACACCACGGCTCCTTAGGGGTTGCAGCTGGAGGACAAGATCATGGAGATCTGATCGTGCCATAATCTTGCTGTGTGGCCCAAGGCAAGTCTCAGCCTCTCTGGATCGTGCTTCTTTCATCTATATTATGGTGGAGATTCATTCCTTCTGACCTCGAAGGGAAGGTAAGATCCACAAATGGGAAAATTTTAGCAAGGAAATGGCCTCAAAAATCCAAGTGCCACAGCAATGCAGGGTCAATGATTTCTGAAGTCATCACTAAAATAATAGCAATGATAGAGCAATAGAATCATCCTGCTGGGCTTTGGAGCCCAGATGAATCCTCATACCTGGAAAGGAGACAAGGACCACAGCGACCAGCAGCAGCAGGTGTGACTTCCTCCTGGTGGGTGTCCCCATGGTGGGTGTCCTGGGCGGCAATGGGGGGCAGAGGAGAGGAGGCTCAGCCCAGCGCGGGGAGAGTCCAACTGGAGGCTGAGAAGGACCTGAGGAGGCAGAGGATGGGGAGGACTCTGAGCCGAGGAGAGCCCCTCCCGGCTCCTTCCTGGCTCCGCGGTAAGTAGGCAGTGCTTCTCCCCCCTGCCTAGGGAGAGGCCGGAATTGCTCCGCACTCACCCTCCCCAAGCCCCCAGGGGAAGGGGCTTGGCTGTTACAGAGGAGCTCTTCCCAGGCTGAGTGCCTACAAGGGGCCCCCTGGGAGTCTGGCTCTGCCCTGTATATGCCGCCCCCCTCCCCTGCAGCCAGCAGGGGTTTGCTCGGGAAGTAAAAGCAGTAACTAATTGGGAGGCAAGAACCCACCTGCCCCTCAGTGGTAATAGCTCTTGATGTAGGGTCCAGAAGAGAACAGGGCCCTGCCTGGGTGGTGGGGAGCATCTTCCTCCTCCAGGGTTTGGGCCCCAATTTCCCCTGCCCCTCCCCCACAGCTGCCAGGGTTTGGGGGTGATAAGCCCCTCTGGGAGCTGCATTAAGTCTCTCAGGGTCGGGGTGCCTGGGTGGCTCAGTCGTTAAGCATCTGCCTTTGGCTCAGGTCATGATCTCAGGGTCCTGGGATTGAGCCCAGCAACGAGCCCCGCATCGAGCCCCGCATGGAGCCCCGCATCGAGCCCAGCATCGAGCTTGCTGCTCAGCAGGAAGCCTGCTTCTCCCTCTCCCACTCCCCCTGTTTGTATTCCCTCTCCCACTCCCCCTGTTTGTATTCCCTCTCTTGCTGTCTCTCTCTGTCAAATAAATAAAATCTTAAAAAAAAAAAAAATGTCAGGGTCTTCCTTGTTTTTCTAGCAGTGAGGAGGAGTTTCACTGGTTTATTCACACCCTCTCACCTGGGCCCCAGGTGAGGCACTTATGTTCTGTGCACCATGGAGCCCTAGCCTTGGCCCCATCAGCAGCGCTCCCCAGCTAGGAGGGCTGATGTGCCCCCACAGGCCTTCTAGGATCCAAGAGTTAATGTGGCTCCCAGAGGAGCCTTCCTCTTATACAGAGACTTGGTTAAATCCTAGAGCTCTGGAGAACCTGTTCCCTGGGCGGGGGCACCCAGAACAAGTCAGAGCTCCCCTCCATCAGGAAGCGAGATGGGGCCTCATCCTGAGAGGGGCGGGCAGGCCCAGCCTTTCCATCTGCTCCGCATCTCCAGGCTGGCGTTCTGAGTTCTGGGGCTAGTGTGGAATCTCAGGGGTCTGCTTTTCGGTTTTAGAGGGAGCCTGGGTCACTGGGCTCCCAGGGCTCCCCGTCAGAGCTGCCATGGGGAGCAGATAACCCAGATGCAGATTCTGTTTCTCTTCCTTGCGCCTTTCCAGAAGCCTGAAAAGGGGGAGGGGGCTGAGACTGGGGGAGAGCCTGGCGGCAAGATCCACACCATCTCTGGGTCTGAGTGTCTTCATCTGTAAGATGGGTGCTCTAAGGTCCCTGCCGGCTCTGAAACTGCAGTGCCCCCAGAGAATGCAGTGTGGCTGAGGGCCTGGGATGCTGTCCCCTGAAGGGGGGGACAGTGGGGGGAGGGGAAGGCAGGCTGCAGATGACTTCAGAGTCTGCCACCAGGGCCAGTGCAGGGTCTAAAGACCAAGGCAAGTCCAGGATCTCCCATTCTCACTTCATGCTCTAGTCCTTTGGAAAGAAAGGCCTCCCAAACCCCTTTAAACCTCAACATCTGGCCGCCTGCAGCCTTTCTCAGCCTCCTTTACGGCCACGGCTGGGGGAGGGAGGGGGAGTCAGGGAGGCTGTGGGCTGAGAAGCTGGGTGTTGGTGGGCAGTGGTGTTTAAACATCTGGCCACTCCCTCTTCTGCCCCACGGCCGTATCCACTTCCCTTTGTCAGGAAGGCGCCCAGGTGCCGCCTCCCCAGGCACCCCCTCTCTGTCCTCGCCACTTTCAGTTCCAGACTGGAGCGCAGAAATTCTGCACTGGCCAGGAAGCCCCTCAGAGGCCCCCACAGGCACACAGTTAGGCTGCAGCTCTGCTCGCGACTAGACCCTTGGCGCCCACCCGTGGAGGTGCGGCTGACTCCATTCAGAGCCTGTCGCTCCCCAAGGGCAGAGACGGACTCCTTCATCTGGGTATGGCTGGTGCCCAGCAAAGTGCCCCGCGAACAGTAGGTGTGACTTGTGGGTCACATTTAACTGATGGCGAGCAGCTGTGACCAGCTCCTCCAGCAGTGGACACAGCTGTCACACACTCCCACTCTCCGCAGAGCTGATTCGGGGGCGCCAGGCTTCATGCTCCCCAAGGGCTGCCCGAGGGCCAACTCCCCAGGCCACACACCCTCACACACACTCCCTCTCTCATATACTCAGAGACTCATGGACACACTCACTCTGTCTCGGACACACCCTCTCACATGCACACACGCACACTCCGTCTCTTCGTCTCACATACTTTCTCAGACGCTTTTATACACTTTCACACATACTCCCACTCTCTTCCCCACACACCTTCACATACACACTCACACACCCTCACACACACACACACACGCACACTCTCTCTCTCACACACTCAGGTCTCTAAGGTCAGCAGGGTGTTTTGTCATGGAAGAATCTAGAAGTATGGCCCTGGATGCTATGCTCCTGATAGGGAGCCACGAGGGCACTGCGAACCATCACAGGCTTTGGAATCCACAGGTAAGAGTCAGTGATATGCCTTCCTTTCCTCACAACTTTGTGAGCCTGGACACGTTATTCCTCCTGGGGGAAGCTCGGTTTGCTCATCTACCACGTGGACGTCCTAACACTTAGGTTCCAGAGCTGTTCTGAATGGGAAAGGAGGTGATGGAGCGCCCTGCAGAAGTCCGGGGCTGTTTGGACTTGCCTTGGGGTCACAGTTAGGATCGGGGAGTGGAGAGAGGATGGGGCTCCAGATCCCTTCCCCATTTCAGCCAGAGCAGGTCCACTTGTACCCGCTTCACCTCCTGGAAGTTCCCTTTAAACAAAGGGTTCCTTGGTTCCAAATAGTTTGAAAACGCCCCTCTGTGCTGGTGCGGTGCGTCCTGGGGTCTGGCACAGAGAAGGTGCTCCATCATCGTTTGCTTCCTGCCCTTTGTCTGCCTGCCATTCCTGGGAGCTCAGGGAGGGGGCAGGGTGCGCGTGCGGGGAGGAGCCTGGGCTGGGCTCCGGGGCTCATCCTGAGTGTGCCCGAGCAAAGCAGAAACAGATGACCGAGGGAGCTGGGGCTGGGGCTGGGGCTGGAGGCTCCGGGGCAGGAGTCTGGTGCTGCCCATGAGCAGTGCTGGCGAGTGTGTGTGGGGGGTGTGTGTGCACATGCAAGTGTGTGATGTTTTTTCGCATCTGTGTGCTGTGTCTCGATGTCCCTGCGTATGTGTGTGGTTTGGTCTCTGTGTCTACGCGTGGGTCTGTGTCTGTTTATGTGTATGTCTGGTGTGTGTGTGTGTGTGAGTGTGTGTCCCCAGCACAGGGCATGACAACCCAGTTCCTGCCTTGTTTCTCTGTGACCTGCCAGCAGGACCACTCACCCTGGAGTACTTCTCACCGCAGTGGTCAGAATTACCTGTTAGCTCTTACCACAGGCGTACATCATGAATAACACAATCCCACTGCTCATTCTACACTTCAGTTTAATCCAGACTTTTATCAGTCACCTTGGGCTGACGGGCCCTGGGCACCCCCTGGGGACTGAGACCTGCCTCAGAAGGGACATGGCCTGGGGAGGAGCTGGGATAGAGGAGCTCCTGGGGCTGCCTTTGGGGAGCACTAGAGACCAGTCAGGCCAATCAGATGTACATTGACTCCACTGTGTGCCCAGGACTTGTTTGAATACACACACACACACACACACACACACACACACACACACACGGAACCTGGGTCAAAGTTTGAGCTTCTTGCCTCCCTGAAGGTGACGCAGCCGGCGTCCAGGTTTGCCCCACATCCCTTTCCCTTCCAGCGTGTATTACCACGTGGCAGGCGTGGTGCTAAGCCCTGGGGAGAGAGTGATGAACACACAGCCTTTGCAGAGCTTCCTGACCCACTAAGTGGCCCAGTCATTTCCCTATACCATCTGCCCTATGACACATTCTAGAATGCCCAGGGGGGAGGAGGCCTTTTTGTCGGGAGCAAGGCAGGAGTGGAGCTATGCCAGGCCCCGAGCCGGCCTTCTGAGCCCGGAGCCAGCCAAGCCTGGCCCAGGCCAGCTGCCCCGGTGCAGGGGTGCAGGGGTGCAGGCTGGCGCAGGCTGGCACAGGCGGGTGCAGGGACGCAGGCTGGCACCGTCAGGGGCTGGTCCTGTGCGGCGGCAGCACGGGAGGGAATGGGCTGCTTCGGGGTTCGGGGGCACCAGGGGAAGTGGGCTGAATTGCTGGGTGCAGGAAACAAAGGGCCTGGGGGACAGCTGCAGGACGGAAAGCTGTGAGCCAGACTCCAGCACGCGACAGGGTTTTCTGGGCTGAGGACCCCTGCACAGAACCAGCTAGAGAATGACAGATACACTCTGCCTGAATGCGACCACTTGGGACACCCAGCTCCTGGCCCTGACTCTGTCTCTCCTTCCCCTGGATAATGGAGATTTGAGTATTGAGGGGTTTGGCGACTTTCAAATGGGTGCTGGTAGGATAAGGGGAAGTTTGGAGCCCAGTTGAGGGCAGAGACTAAGTGACTTATTATAAGCCAAGAAGTACTGCGGGAGCCCGTCGGCTACCCACCATCCTCCATCCTGCGGCGCAGTACAGTGGTTAACAGAGTGGGCTCTGTGCCAACCGGCCTGGCCCTTACTAGTTAGCATACAACTAACTGGCATAACCCAACTCTTACATTCATTACCTACCCTCTCCGAGCCTCAGTTTCCCCACCTGCAAAATGGGGATGAGAAGGGGCCCTGGGGAGGTCAGCAGCAGGCCTGGCCATAGCGAGCACTCAGAAGATCAGATCTTACTGCTGAGAACCCTCCCGGGACCTCCAGCATGGGCCCCGGCACGCCGAGGGACACACACAGACCAAGGCAGACTCACTCCCACACGGTCATGACATTCGGGCGGCGCTCACAAACGTGTGGGACGCTGACGGATTCCCACGGTCTCCCTGGGCAGGCGCCTTCCTCTGCTCTGCCCCACACGTGCAACAGGCCCGGGCAGGTACTATGTGCTTGTGCCTGCCCGAGACGAGGGCACAAGCACATAGAATCACACCCAGAGCGCGTGTGTTCAGGAGGGCACCTGGTGAGGACATGCACATGGGCACTCCCAGCAGGTCCTGCTCCTTGACCACCCCCACCTCCCGCCTGCAGGGTCCAGGATGGGAGGGGCACTCTGCCTAGGGAGGGAACAGCCACCCGGGATAGGATCACCGTCCTCCAGGAACGTCTGAACCACTCCACACCTCTCTGGAAGGACAGGGGTGTGCGGTGGCCTGGTGGGGCCACAGGCCAGGAAGGGACGGAGCTGCTGGGGGAGGAGGGTAGTGGTGGAAAGGTCTCGGTGGGAAAGGCTGGTGCCCTGAACTGGAGGAGGTCCTCAGGACAGATTTGGGTGGGATGGGGACCTCCTCAGTCCCCAGTGGGGGACAGGGACTGGGTGGGGACAGGGGAGCTGTGCAGCTGGGTCTCTCCCCAGCCCCCTCTATGTGCTCCCTCCCTTCCCACTCCCCAGTTTTCCCCGCAGGTTCTTTGTACTAGCAGCTGGTTCCGAGCCCCTAGCCACGGCACTGCTGTGCCCTCTGGGGGAAGCTGTGACCCCAGGCTCCCGCATTTGTCTGAGCTTTCAGCACCAGGGGAGTCTGGCCCTTCCTCTGCAGCCTGGAGTCTCTGACTCTCCTGCCCTGGCTCTCTCCCTGGAGAGACTCCTCAGAGTGGGGAGTGGAAGAAGGGAGAGCTTTGCATCCTCCTGGGAGGAGCTCGTAGTAAGGGGCAAGCCATACCCAGACCCAGATTTTCCCTACTCCCCTGCTAGTGTGGAGTGGGACAGATTGAGCAAGGGTTTTGGAAGGACCATCCCTTTTTGAGAGGCCAGGAGTAGGACGATTGTTTCAACTTGGTTCTAAAGAACCATATTAGGAAGAAATCAGCGGACCAATTTCCCTATGTCCCATGATCTCTGCAGAGGGGAGACTCCCCCCAATTCCTGGACAGTTTCCTGCAGGCTGGTTCAGAGCCAAGCCTGGTGGAGGTGCATTTGGACCTGCTCCTCCCCTCAGATTGGTTTCTGCTCCGGGGCCCAGATTAACTGTGTCTCTTGGGCGGTACTGCAGGAAGGCTGCCTTCCAGCCAAACGCAGGATGGGGGGCCTCTTGGTCTAGGAGGCCGGCACACTTTGAGAGGATGTGGGCTAGGACTTGAGGAGATCCAGCAGGTTCATCTGGATGGTTGCGGGGTGGGGGTGGGCTCGTTAGATGAGAAGGGTGCTGAGGTGCGCCTGGGCCTGCACGTGTCCTGGGGCAGGGGGCGCTCAGTTTTGGGTGACAGCGTCACACCTTTGCATCATCTTTGGGTAAACATGGAAACATGGGCTCATTTTGCACCAAGAGAAGTCATTAAGCCAAAGAAAGGACTTCTCTACTCCAAGATGGTTAACATCAGGGCACAGAGTCCACGGAAACTCCCATGAACTTTCCAGGTTCGCAAACCCCCCTGTGAGGTGAGTGGGAGAGGTTGGTCTAGATTAGGGTGGTTCAGAAGAATGAGAGATGGCCGGCCTGCATAAGGGGCTGAAAAGGAGGTCTATCTTCTTATGAGTCACCCCATTACCTTTTGAAAGAACATAACCCGACGCTGGAAGGAATTTAGAGGGCCGTCCACCCCACATCTGCCTCCAGTCAGGGCTGTCTAGCTGTGGACCAGACCCCAGTCGTCAAACCCTCTGAATAGTCCCTGGAGAGGAGATTGCCCCTCCTCCTCATGGCTCATCTTCCTGGCTAGGAGGTGTCTATAGCAGTCTGACTTCAATCCCTCCTGTTCCACTGGCATATTCTTTGCTCTGGTTCTTCTTTCCCTGTGTATCGCCCACCTCTTCCTCAGCCCGCTGGTTCTGCCCTAGGAATCTTCCCTAGATCACAAATACCACCCACGGTCAGGTTTAGAGATCATCTTTGAGATATGCTTTCTCACAAACATTTGGCTTGAGGATGTGGGAGCGGGGGTAGGACACATACATCCTCCCACCCACCCCAAATGTATTGCTTCCCTCATGGCCTCAGGGTCCGAGAGGGTGCCCTGGGGAGACCCCATTCTGCGTACTCGCTCCTGAGGACTAAATTCGGTCAGTCAGAGACAATATGTACAACCATCCCATTGAACACAGAAGCCTAACCTACATGTGTCTCTATTTGAAAAGCTGCCGGCAGAGAAGGTGCTGGAAGAGAGTTGCATAAGGAGTGAAATCTGGCAGGGCAATGGTGTGGAGGGAGGTTGAGACCTGAGGCTGGAGGGGTACACTCGGCCAGGGAAGGCAGTGTGAGTGAAGAGCTTGGCCAGGTGGGGAGTAGAAGATGAACGAGTTGTAAGAGTTGAAAGAGCAGGGGACCCAGCTCCAGGCACCTGTCCGCCTGGGTGCCTCTGCTTCCCTTCCCGCTGGGGAGCACCAGAAGGACAGGTGAACCTTACGTGACTTTGATGCCCCCTTCCCATCTGTCTCCCACCTCCCTTCTGCTGGCTGAGGACTCCCGATAGATCCCATGGGAAATTAGGAATAACTCTGACCTTGTGGCAAAAGCCTTGCTTGAGTAGTTTTGCAGCCTGGCTAGAAAGGGGTTAACTGGTGAGGCACCCTGGGGAGGGGCTTGGATGCTGCCGGCTCTGGGGGTGGGGGGCAGAGGTCCCTCCTCCCAAGGCCAGGAGTCAGGGTACCATTGCCCTGCTCCACCCTCAGGAGCCAGGGTCCCATCAGCCTCTCCCACAGGTGGCCCACTCTTTGCTGCCCTTGATCTCCAGTGGCTCATCTGGTTCCTCCGAGGGTGAATGGGAGGCTAAGTGGACAGAGCATCTCTCTGGCCAGAGGGTCAGGGGAGGAGTCCCAGGCTGCAGCCCAGAAGGAGATCTTGGGAGCCCCCTGAGGGACTGGGTTATTCGGGCTGTTCTTCTTCTGCCCCCCTCTGAACAGAGGGAAAAGGATGCTACCCGGGCTGGGAAGGGGGCTGGGGGTTCTGGGGGAGTCAGGCTGAAAGGAAGGGCAATGGGGTCTGACCAGTCACAGGCTGATTGTTGGAGAAGGGGGAACGTTAAGGGCAAGTACTTTGGGGGCCAGAGAACCTGCCCTTCTCACGGGCCACCCTCTCCTGGTCTGCCTGGATTCCCAAACCTCCAGACAACCTTGACTGACTGCTTTTCCTCCCGGGACACAGGCTCAGCCCCCAGTGTTTTGTGGCTGAAGGGTCCCGACTTTGTCTCCATGTAGCACCTGGACTGTCCCCTTCCACAGGCTCTGTGTCATCTAACCCCCTTTCTTGTTTCCCATACCTGGGAATCCCTCCTGGGGAAAGCAACAGGATTCAGCTCTGGACACCAGCTGAGGCTGCTTCCCCCACCTTTCTGGTGGGTGATGTAAGCCCGATGGTACTCTCTCTTTCTGGACCCTCTAAGATGAGCCCTCCCCCCTTCTCCCCGGGCCCCTTTCCTCTAGGGAAAGGCAAACTTGATGCCAATCCTTCCCTCCCACCAGTGAGGAGGAGGGGAGGGATCTGGGGAGAAGGCAAGGTTGGGTGGGGAAGAAAAGGAATTTCAGCCCTGGCTTCCCAGCTTCTCACCCTTGGGGATGTGACTTGCCTCAGTTTCTCCTCCCTAAGTCCCCACTCCTGGACAAGCTTTTGCCCAAACTTGAGTTCCACTCCCCCCTCTCTCTTCCACAGCTTCTAACTGAAGCAAGACTTTGCAAAGGGGTCACCCCACAGAGGTAGACCCAAGGCCATCTCAGGTCTGGATGGTCAGGCTCAATTCCACCCAGGGACTCCTGGGG